AAAAAAAATTCTTTTAATTGCATGTATGTATAAACAAAACTATTAAAACGTAAGCAAACAAGTTTACGAATTTTTAATAAAAAAAAGTGCTAAAAAATAAAAAAAACAAGGTTTATAAATTTATAATTGTTATCAAATAAATAAACCAGGTGTGAATTTGATAGTATTGTATTGTGAGATCCTTATCATTCTAGGAAAAGCATTTTTATAATATAGAATGCGTCATTAAAACAATTATTAAAAATATTTAAGTAAATAAAAGTTGTAGCAAACCCAAAAGCTTACATTTTAGAGTTTATATCAAAAATAATTTAACAGAAATAAAATTATAAAATAAAATATTTCCCGGTAATACATTATTTTAATGTTTTTAATTTTGTTTGACGTTTCATAATACATTGTAAATTTTAGAATATAAGTACCTACATATTTATATTTTAGTACAACTTATCGTCTTAATGCGATATGGACAATCCTCTCGAGTTGTACAGTATATTTTTTCTACGACCCACTTAACGAAAAACTACAAATTTCAAAATTTATTTTAGGTTTTTAAGACAAAATAACTAATTTTAAAATAATTTGGGGTCTATTCTGTAACAATTCCTTTATATTTTAACGGCCGTTAAAATATTGGAGGCCTTTAAAAATATTTTAGTATTTACTAAATTACTTGTCATTATTTAATCGGATTCCTTTAAAATACATTAGAGGACTATTTTAAAGAAATGCGTTTAAATAATGAGAGAAGTAAATTAGCGAATACGAAAATATTTTTAAAGGCCGCCAATATTTTAACGGCCGTTAAAATATAACGGAATTGTTACAGAATAGACCCCTTTATGACCATTTATAAAAATAAACATGAAAAAAGGATTTAATTTAATTAGTCTCCAGTCCAGATTTGAACCCAGGCCTCTCGCATAGCAGCTAAACCACTGGTCTCACCTACATCGAGACACTTGCCATTTTAGTTTTAATGCTCGTAATTAAATTAGTTTCATATAGTTTGATTAAAATGTATGATTTATTTGTATATATAGACGAAATAAAAATAGAAATGCTATTATTTATCGATTATACACAAGAATAACTAATTTTTACGCATATTTAATCTCAATAACTAAAAAATACACTGACAATTACTAGTTCGACAGAATTGTCAGTTATACAGTGTGTCTACTTAAGTTGGAACCATATGGAAAACATTTTTATTATTGATTTTAAGAAAAAAAAGTTATTCTTGATAAAAAGTCCTGCATGACCCAAAACCTAAAATACAGTAATCACATATCAAATTTTTCAAGCCGTATACGAGGTTTGTCAAAAAATATGAATTTTGCTCAAGAATAAAGTACGTTTATTTTTGACAAAATCGAAAATTTTCATTAAGAAAAGTTGATTAGAATTGAATATTACATTCAAATATGCAATTACACCGATCTATCTGAAAAAACAGATTTTCTTATTTTTTATAAACTCTACACATTGATTGTAAATATCTGAAAACGTTATAAATTACGTTAGCTACTATAAACATGATACGCTTTCCTTTTGTTGATGTTTGTGAAGAATTTAGCAAATTTCTAAATGAAAATTTTCGATTTTGTAAAAAAATAAACGTACTTTACTCTTGAGCAAAATTCATATTTTTTGACAAACCTCGTATACGGCTTGAAAAATTTGATATCTGATGACTGTATTTTAAGTTTTGGGTCATGCAGGACTTTTTATCAAGAATAACTTTTTTTCCATATGGTTCCAACTTAAGTAGACATACTGTATAAATTTTAAAAAATAATAGTAGCCAGGTGACCAAAATATGAACTTTTATTGGTAGATTTCATTTTTTTTGCAGTGTTTTTACTAGGTAGAATGGAAATGAAATATATTCGGTCAGGTGAACGCAGTGGCATTCCTTTTCGTTTTATAGTCTTAACGTAGATAAGCTAATATCCATGGGGGTGTAGAAAAAAAATATTTGGATCAGCTCAAAGATATTCGTATAATAGTGTTGCGTTTGCCGCTTGTGACAGAGAGAGAGAGAGAGAGAGAGAGAGAGAGAGAGAGAGCGATTTATCAATTTGCTTGAATTTTTACAGCCACGTATTTATAATGGTGTAAAATTATAAATTGAAGCAATTTTAGTTCAACAATGAAAATTACAAACTGTAAAGTACCTCTAAAACCCATAAAATCTCTAGCTTCGTGTTTACTTCTTGTATGATTTTACTGACATGTTCCTTGCAAACTCAATATTTGGGATTTTTGACATTTGCACCGATTCTAACTTTGTGTCTATAAGAGCCGGTTTTTCAATCTCCGGCTATTTAGGATAGCTGGCAGCAATGGAGATAACCGTCAGCCACTGCCTGTCAAAACGTTTAACGACCTCCAGTTATATGATAGCTGCATTCACTAAAATAAATACATAAAGCTTATATTTTTTAGTGATAGAAAATCGTATCTCTATAAGTAGGTACTAGTTTTTGATATAGTACGTTTAGAAAATTAGTATTTTCATTTTTCAAAGAGAAAAAAAGTTGTAATTCCAACTTTGAGCCTCATTTTCTCCAAATCTATAAGATTGGAGATAAAATTATTTACCTCTAAGGTACAGATATACTTCTCACATGGTATTTTTATTTATTAAGTCAATATAAATGAAAAAAACGCCATATAATATAAAATAAAAATAGCTGTATTGGTAAAAATTGAATAAAGTATAAAAATAAGTTTATATTATATTAGAGGCAGTAACACACAATAACATAATTTTGTTTAGTTGTAACGCTTCATACAGATTAACCAATAATTGCGTTTTCAGAAATATGCAACAAATCTAAAAATAAAATTAAATAAAGCAGTAACCTAGTGACTAGTTTTCAAATAACCATATTATTAAAAAAAAAAAAACATAAAACAGCTGTGTTTACATAATTTTTTTGATAAAATTTAATTGTTTTAATAATATTTGAAATAATTTAGATATTATTAAATGCTTTATATCTATGTTTGTTGACATATTTATTCTCACTTTATCTGGACGTTTCATTTATGGGTAATTAAGTAATTAGAAATTATTGAAATAGTTTTGGGATCATGTAATAGGACCCCCAAATCTTAAACTTTTTCCAAAACAAATAAGTTGATAAAAAAAACATACAGGATGTCCATAAATTGATGGGTCATAGAGCTCTCACGAATTGTATAAACCAAAATGTAGGTACCGTTTGTCCATGAGAAGAGTTCAAAGTTTACTTAAAAAATCATATTTTTACCCTGTTCAGAAATGTGTGAAACAAATTTAATGAAATTTGGCAAATGTACATTTTAGAGTTTTTAGAAGATTACTCTACTTCCAGTAATTAAAGACACCCAAAGAAAATTGTAGAAGGGTTAAAACCACCCCTGGTAACTTTTTCTCATTTTTTTAGGAGTTGTATTATAATTCTAAGACTTTTTTAATGGGAAGGTTTATCATCTTCATTTTTGATTCTTGTAAAAAAAATTTATTTCGCAAAGTTTCGCAGGAAAAAAATATTCTCAAACAAAAAAACAAGTCATAATTTAGTTTATTGTTGACAGTAAATGTTTCAATGTGTTTACTTTTTTTTCGACAGACAGCCTTCTACCCCAGAGAGTGGTCGTTAATTGATGAATTTTAATATAGCAACATCAAAATTCAAAATTTGCCATCGATCAAAAATGTCTTTAAATATTTTTTTTCAAATTTGATCTACCAAAATCTTGTCAAATATACGAACTACGGTAGAACGAACACCCTGTATATAAATTGGGTCTAATCTTCTTATTTTGACCTCTGCGTGGTAGCTCTATGTCAAAGCAATTTAGGGTCCCACTGTATAATAAAGAACATATTTTTGTTGAAAGCTTATACAAAATTATATAAACTTTATGTACAACAAATGTATGCAGCCATAGAAAAATTAAATTAATGCTTGGAATAAATGAAAAATAAATGAAGCATTGTTGTAGAAAGTATGTACAAACATAAATCAAACTTTATCTCAAAATGACAGATTAATTTAAAACACTTAATAAACTCAAATATTACATTCAAAAACAATTAATAAAAAAACTAAAGATTGTTTTATGTAATCCCAATATACATAGAAAATAAATAAAATTAAGGTAATGACTATATAATATTTTAAGAACTTGGAGTGTAAATTTTCCAAGCAAGCACACTATTGTTTTATCTATTGAAAAGTTTAATATTAAATAGGTATTCTCAGTTATCTGTTTATCATCTACATATTTAAATTATGTAGGTATGTTCATTTCGGAGAACTGTGTTTAAAATTCAGAACTTCAAATTTCAATCAAATCAATAATGTTGATAAACTAGAAAGCTATTTTCATTTAAATTACAAGGTTTCCAAAAATAGATTTCCAGATAAAAACACAAAAGTTTCAAAACCCTACATAAACTTTTAATCTATTTACAATAAAGTTTTAAGTACTTATTACAGATAACTGTTAAAAAGAAATTAATATTTCATTATAAAAAAAAGCACTGGCATCAATTTTATTATTACTTTCCCACTACTTAATAACTTCTTATAAAAGGATTCATGCCTTTCAAATGTGTAAAAGCATTATTCAGACCATCTTTATAAAAGCCAAAATCCTTTTATAAAATCCGAAAATTGTCGTTTCAATGAAAATACACATTTCATGAGTCTCAAAATCAATTTGAGATTCATTTCAAAGATTTTTTGTTTTTTTTTATTCACGCCGTACCTCTACAATCAATTGAGGAAGTTACTTTATTGAATAAATATTGAATCCTACCAACCACCTACCCTTTTTTAAGGAAAAATTACTCACTATTGTACACAAAAATAAAACCAACCAGCAATGATTGTTACGAACCTGAATAAAAAACTTGCGACTGCTGTACTACATTAAATGTTAACTTTATTTTTTGGAATGTACTTAGGTATTTAAGTAAGTGGAATTTCCGGGTATTGGTTTTACTGTACTTTAGATTTAAGCAGTGGATAATCTGCAGTGACTGGTGCATTTCTCGTCTTCGATTTCCTATCACCGGACATGTAGGCCTTATAGAAAAATCTCGCAAACAAAACAAAGTAACTGAAATACATCGCAACTGACAGTTTAATATTCAGGGGCGTAATGTGGCATTCCTGTTGCTGCTGAAGCAACTGTCTCGCCCACAGGTTCACTGCACAACCAATAATCATTTGAAGCAACTGTAGTGAGGTAATAAGCATTGCTATCTGCCTCGGCGGGCTGTATCTCATAGCTCTTAAAGCATAGTAGGAATACATCACTGAATGGACGCAATAATTCATCACAATAAACCATCTAGCACTGGCAGTGTATTCGGTATAACTGAACCAAGAATACAGTAAAACAGTTATGTGATGGTACCAATGTAGGAATATTAAAGGCTGCTTTCTAAGCACTATAAATATGGTATCTCCAAGTTCTGGAAGTTTACTAAGTACAAACATCCAAGTCCAGAAACCTGACACTTTATCCTGTTCAATAAATGAAGGAATACATACAGAATGGTATAATCCGTGATGGGTTAATGTATGAAAGAACTCTGGCACTGTTCGGCAAGCACCCATTATACTAAACGTAGCTAACAGGGTATTCCACAGCACCAAAATACCTCTTAATTCGAATCTAGGTCGATTCTGCATTATGTACTGTCCACCAAATATAAGAACCATGTAAATGCCACAATAGTAAAACCCCATAGTCCAGTTGTCCTGCATCCACGTGCGGGTCTTCTGATGAATGAAATCTGATTCGAAATTAAACATATACGAGTAATTCGGCATCGTAACTTGTGTATACTCCTTCATTATCTACTCGTTAATTCACTCTCACTAGATGACCGGCACCGGCGGCACACTTTTTAAATGATTAGAAATTCACACTTGCACGGGAATTTATAAAAATTTTATACTTGTACTTGTGCGCTGCTGTCAACTCGATTTTAACAGCGCACGACCGACAGATGATTCTCAAGTACGCCCAAAAGTGGCCCAACCGCTGAATAAATCGTAGTATATGCTAGATGTGCGCCTGCGTTTCACCGAAATATATGCATCGCGGTAAATTGAAATTCCTGTAATTAAAATGACGGAGCATCTAACAGGTTTTTTTTATGGTAATAAATTTTAATAACTAATTTGGCACATACATTGTTTAATTTTTACCTTTCAATTAGCTATTTTTTAGGGAATACATTACTTTAAAATGCATAAAAACTTCGAATGTAAATATCATTGTGGACAGAACATAATTATTAAATAATGTCAAGTGTCTTATCAATTCTCAAGTGTTATTGCTTTGACGCTCGGAGGCTTTGACAAATTATTGCCCTTTTCCCTACCTTTAACTTAGGCCATTCACATTTTTAAATCAAACAATCCACTGCATTGTATAATCATGTTACAGAGTTGGTCTAGCCAAGAAGTAACTAGGTATAACCAAAATTAATTTCAACAGAATTACTTACATATTTTTCATACAGGAAATATTTTATTTATAAAATTAGTCATGTCATATACCTAGTCATAATTACAAGGTGGAACGATCTTACCTTCGGCTGAAATTTTGTGAAGTGGTTGGCGGGTCCATCAGGAAGTGTCACTTGCAAGAGATTTACTTTAGAACCCCTGCAAAAGACGATAGGCAACTCAAATTTGTAAAAAAATATCGCCTGGCTAAAGAAACGATCGTACATCGTACCTACCTCATAACGCCTCATCCGTCTGAAAATTTACGTATCACCTCTTTGAATGTCACATATGAGGACCCAAATCGTTAGATGGCTAAGGGCTCTCAGATGTCTTCAAATTTATAATTTTTTTCTTTGAATGTTGTTGTTGTTGTTGTTGTTGTTGTTGTTGTTGTTGTTGTTGTTGTTGTTGTTGTTGTTGTTGTTGTTGTTGTTGTTGTTGTTGTTGTTGTTGTTGTTGTTGTTGTTGTTGTTGTTGTTGTTGTTGTTGTTGTTGTTGTTGTTGTTGTTGTTGTTGTTGTTGTTGTTGTTGTTGTTGTTGTTGTTGTTGTTGTTGTTGTTGTTGTTGTTGTTGTTGTTGTTGTTGTTGTTATTGTTGTTCTTTCTAAAATTGCTCACAGAGACCACTAAATTTGCTTCTCAAACAGAAATCAGAAATTTCGGATGTCCTCGTACACCAACGCTACACCTACCTTTGTTGCCAGATCGAGTTGTATTAATAAGTTCGCTGGATTAAATAAATATTTTTCTATTAATAATTCGGTCGATGCGTACCCATAGAAAAACTAAAACTTGTTGTTGTTGTTGTTGTTGTTGTTGTTGTTGTTGTTGTTGTTGTTGTTGTTGTTGTTGTTGTTGTTGTTGTTGTTGTTGTTGTTGTTGTTGTTGTTGTTGTTGTTCTTTCTAAAATTGCTCACAGAGACCACTAAATTTGCTTCTCAAACAGAAATCAGAAATTTCGGATGTCCTCGTACACCAACGCTACCTACCTTTGTTGCCAGATCGAGTTGTATTAATAAGTTCGCTGGATTAAATAAATATTTTTCTATTAATAATTCGGTCGATGCGTACCCATAGAAAAACTAAAACTGCGTACCTATTCATTTTACGGAATATTTGAATTATTTAATTATTAAATGAAAGGTGTGTTCTGAATGATGCATGTGTTTTATCAATTAAAAGAGTTGAACAGATGTTTACCTAATCTCAGAATCATGTTAATTGCATGTTGATTAGTTTTTGATAAAAATTGGATCGTAGGAGGGGTTTAAAAGGGATTTAAGAGGGTTGGCAAGTAAAGAAAAAAACAGATTTTGAGATTAAAACAAGTATTTAGTAATGACATTTTTTCTGTTGAAAAATATAAATTCGTAAAAATCTGATTGGCTTAAAAACCATAATAGTACCTAAGGTATTTTATATTTTTTTTTACTCAAAAAAAAAACTATTTCTATTATAACTTAATTTATTATATATACATTTTAAAAATCCTTATTGATCATTGCTAAACATTTAGTAAAAATAGTTATGGTTTTCCTAAGGTACAATTTTTTGCCATCAGCACTCAAAGTAGAACAAAAGTATTTAACATGTTTTGGTGCATTTAGTGGTGCAAATTGTAGCTGAGTATGAACATTTTACTTTAATAATTTTATCGTCATCTATCAATCCATCCATTGAAGCTCCTAAGAAATGATAACCTTTTTTTAAACAGACGAATAAACCACATTCAACAACTGTATTCTTTGGAGAACCATGTGTTTCAATTGCTATCTATATCTGTAACGTGTGAAAGGTGGGTTGACCCACGGCACTTAGGCATTACAAAAAATACTAGACCCATTTTGCATCCTCCTAAGTAGATCGTCACCTCTTAGCTAGTGAGCCAGCCTTCAGATTTAATGTAGTTGACAACATTGCCAAGAGGTGCCTTTTTTATATCGGACGGTGTTAGCCTATTCTCACCGAATTCAAATCATCTAATGAGAGCGTCGGACAATCGTAGAGGATATATGCTCGATGATCTCATCTTTTTGTTCGCACCCCTTGCAGAGAGCGCATTCTGCCAGTCCCATGACATGGAGATGCTTCCCTACTTGGCAATGACTAGTCAGAATGCCTGTGATCATCAGGGATCTAGTCATAGTCAAGTATTTGTTTGCTGTAGTGTCCGAGAATACCGATCAAGGAGAAGCGACAGTAGCTGTCGGTGCCTTTGATATCGGATGTACCTTTTTCACAGTATGACTTTGACTGATACACAACTTAGCACGCTGAGAAAACATGCTTATTTTCTACACTGAGCGAAATAGTTTGGCAAATTATCTGAAATTATTGTTATAGTCCATGCGCAAGAGTGATACACAACTTATTTTCGCACATGCGCGTTACAAAACGGTACACTGAAAACACAAACCTGTCGCTTCTCCTTGATCGGTATTCTCGGGTAGTGTTGTCAGGATAACTTAAAAGCTCCCTGGAAAGTCTACAGCTTCTTGTTTCCTTGAATTCTAGCCGGAGATACGATTGTACCATCTTGAGGCCGCTAGCTCTAGGTCTATCATGTTAACATTTTTTCAAATTTTGACATATAAAGTGAATTTTTTTTTGTAATCGCAGAAAGTGTCAAAATGACCTATACTTTATGTAACTAGTTACATAAAGTTGAAAATCATGTAACTGCTTACGAAAAGTTCATTATGTCACAGATTGCAAAAGAAAACAAAAATAAACTTTTTTTTGTTTTAAAATCAATATATACCTGCTTTGCTTTTGAAAGTTTACCTATACATATATCGAAGGGAGGAATGTTGGCTATATAAAAATATATTTTGTCTGTGAATTTACAATTAGTAATAATTCTCTGATTCTAATTCTAATTCATAACTGGATACTATTATTTTGTTGATCTTCCAGTTTTCAACCTTGCGATTTTTTATTTACTTATAAATAAGACAAAATATTCCATCAGGTGAATCGCAGCAATGCAATGGAAAAATAACGTACCTGTGGTACGTAGTCAGTAATTTAGAGAAATGGAAAATTAAAAATTCTTAGATCAAAGCATTAATTGCTAAACGATTAACACCTAATTTATAAATCTACTTCCGCAGGAATTTTTGAAAATTCTGGAACTTTCATTGGTCCTTTCCAAATATAATTTCTTTTGGTTTTGGGAAATGTGCATCTATTTTATTTATTTAGTATTTTATGTTTATTGCTTTTCTATAGTACCTACCTATTGTAAATCGATCATATTTTCACAAACATATTCGATACATATCATTATAATAATCATTGTAAATAATTTTTATTGGAAAAATAGGTACTAGTTTTCTTTATTTTATTATTTATATACATTTAGGAAGGACATTTATCTCTAACAGTTAACAAAAGTAAGGCGAAGCCGCCTCTGGTGCAAATGTGTAACTGCAAGCAGCTGGAAGTCATAGGATATTGAAATAGAGAGCACAAACAGTGCATCGCATAAGTGCATGAATTAGAAAGAGAAAAAATCGCCAAAAACCAGGGCTGGTATACCAGCCCTGCCAAAAACTTAATTTTTATGGCATGAATGACACACTTTCATACTTATTCATATGTTTAGGTGTCTTATCTTATAATATTCGTATCTATGAAGACTAGAGAGACTCGTATCCTTTGTCAAGACCATAATCGTCATAGATATACCTATTTGTAAAAATAAAAAATCGAAAAATCGACCCTAAATCGTTTTTTTTTAGGTTCACTGAAATCCCCATTTGACTTTTAGTTAATCGTTACTAGGCGAAAACATAATTCGCTTTCATAATTGTCAGTGACATTTCTTGTTCTTAAACTAAAATTATTATTCCTTCAAGAAATAAAAATATGGCTTCAAATTTGGGTAATGAAAAATCACAAAGTGTTAAGAAATTTTCGCTAATAAATCATTCATAAATTATTCAGTAAGTAAATTTTAAATTCAAAAATAAAAACTCCTAACTTTGTTTAAATACTAATGATTTATGAATGAATTAGTTAATTTGCCAACATTTTTATCTAGAAAATAATTAGTTTATTTTTAGGGACTTTTGTCAAATAGTGGTTGGTACTGTTGGCAGCCCTGACCTCACCCACCTAACCTAAATCCTCTTCTTCTCTCTTTGCAAAGTTGGATTTCTGATTTGGCTATAGAAATGTCTACAAATTCTTTGGAAAATGAGGTAAACCAAATAATTTAACGTATAAATGTTACTTAAAAACTATACGTCTATTTAAATAAACCATTAAATTAATTTTGGTTGGTTACTAAGGTAACCATATAGTTTTTAACAAGAGAGAACTGCCATATTGTCTTCCAAGTTAGATAAAAAAATTCCAAGAAAAAATTTAGCATAGTTAGCTGTGAGACCATTAGATACTTAAGTTGATTTAACAAATGACTTTGTTTCAGATCGAAAAAAGCGAGCAGAAAAACGACAACGAATTAGAGATCCCCATGGACTTTTCAATTAAACATCCTTTACAAAGTGCTTGGACTTTATGGTACTATGAAAACGATAGAACACAGACGTGGGAAAAGAATCAAAAAGAAATTTCCTCCTTCCAAACGGTGGAAGATTTTTGGAGGTAAGTGGCGCTAGTTTACTTTTAACAATGCTCTTCGGTGTTGATTGAATGTCAGATTTTTGATTTAGAATGCATCGTCACTAGGTGTTTTAGTTGAAAGGTGAGATTTACATCCATATATTGGTGTCTGATCCTTATCTACAATCTGGGATAAGTGTTTGCTTTCATGGAGTTGCACAATGTTTCTCTATGAATCATAGATGAAATTAGATCTTCGATTTGATTTTTCTTAACATTGCCTTTTTTTGACTTGATATTGATGTCTGACACCCATGTACTGTTTACATTTAATTGTTGATTTTTTCTTAACTTTCTTTACCAAGACCGGATTTGTTAAACATAATTCTATATTACTGTTGTTCCCATTGCTGTATGTATGCATTCATGATTAAATAATCTCTAGATCCGTATATACCCGTCATTTTCTATATTTTAGGAATCTTCAGTCCCCCTGCCGCATTGATACAGTATTTTTCTAGAGTCTTTAACCCTATTGATGCTTTAGTGATGCATTTCAGTAAAGATGTATAAGCATTTGGATCCAATGCCATATTTTTCTGTCATTCCTTATTTAGTAGTGGAGTATAGTGTGGTGGTGTAGAATCTAGTCTAATGCCATATGTGTTCACTCTTGTTTATTCCATACCAAAGAAACAGTACTAGAGTTTAAGAAAAAATTGATTTTACTGGCAGGTGTTGCATGTCCTGCAGTTTTATTACAACACATGCACATACTAAGGAAGGATTTTTGGGGGGTTAAATGCTATTTAAATATAAAGTAATGATAAAGAAAAGTGAAACATTGTATGAGAATAGACCTTTGACTTAAACTAGTAATGTTTTTCAATATGTTTTCTATGCTTAGCTTGTACAATCATATCAAGCCTTCAAGTGAACTGAGACAAGGAAGTGATTACTCTCTATTCAAGAAGGGAATTATGCCCATGTGGGAGGATAAGGCTAACAAAAGAGGAGGCAGATGGCTGCTAAGCTTAGAAAAGAAACAGAGAAATAATGACTTAGATCGCTATTGGTTGGACATAGTAAGTTTTAATTTTAGGAATGTTTTTTATTTCTGCCACTGAATATTAAGTTGTCTAGAATTTTGTCTTGATATCATTAAATGGTATGTCTTATGCTACAATAAATTATGTTAAACTTAAATCCATAACATCTGTGGTGGCGCTTTGGCAATAAAAGGCATTGGCAACTTATTCTACATAGGTATATGTTTTATGTCTGAGCCATAAACATATATAAAATTTTCTCTTTTATTTAACATGTGCACCAAATATAAACAAATTGCCATCTTTCTATAATGTAAAAACTTTTTTTTTTTAACTAATTGTAAATTTGAAGTAAATATTTTCTTTTTTGTTTGTTTAACTATTTATATCCTGCATGATATTTATACAGTTATATTTGTTCTGTAATTGGATGTTTTACGTAGTTTGCTGCTTAGTGGGTCTGTTATTGGCAATTTGGCCAAATTGTTTTAAATTTTGATGACGGGCAGCATTTCAAACCAGTTATTGTAGTGTCAACGTTTTTATTTTTAAGAATAATATAACCAGACACAATTATCAAAGGAAATAAATTCAAATTCTCAAATGTGACCAATTTAAAAATCAATGTTTCTCCTTTGGCTAATATCGCAACAGGCATTGCATTGTGGAAGATAGAATAATAATAATAATAATAATCTGATACAAAACATACAATAATCAATTTCATACAAATTAACCAGTTTAATAATTAAGCTTAATAACAATATGTACTATATTTTTAAATTGATTAGAGTCTTAGAACCCTTTATATAACTTGGCAAATTGTTATAACCAATACAAGTTAAAGTTTTTGTGATGAATGCCTTAATTTGGGTGTTAACATATAAGTTATCCTTTAGCCTGGTATTGTAGTTGTGAATTTGATGATTAAAAATGATAAAACTATTAAAATAGGAAGGTAGAAGATTATAAACCATTTTATAGATATAGCACATTGCCAAATAAATATGCCTTTGTTCTATGGATAACCACTCCAAGGTCTCCAGCATTAAGAATATTGGAGTAAGCCTGCTAAATATTGTTTTGTTTTGAAGCTTTTGTAAAGATTTCAGTTTATTTAAGTCAAACACGTAAAATAAGGTAGGGCAATATTAAAAATGAGGTTGAATAATAGTTTTATATACAGTTATCCTGGAATTCATGGTTGAATGTTGTGAGACTCGAAAGAAAATATAATTTCTTCAAAATTTTCTTTTGCAAATAATTGAAATTTCTATTAAAAGATAAATGACTGTCAAGCATAAAACCCAAGTATTTGAATTCCGTTACCCACTCAAAAATATTGTCATCTAGTTTAATGGCAACTTCATTAAGATTTATATTTTTATACTTAAAAGGTGTAGTTAATATCATACCTTCTGTCTTGGTAACTTTTAATTTATTTATTTGCAAGTATTTTGTAATATTGTGAAGTGACTTATTCATTTTTTGCATGGCAACATTAAGGTCTTTATCACTAACTGATATTAAAGTATCATCAGCAAAGAAGTGTTTGTACTCACATTCATTGAAATGTTCTATGTCGTTAACATATTAAAAATAGTAAATGGCCCAAAATACTTCCCTGGGGAACTCCATGTTTTACATCAATAGGTGATGACAGTAAATTATTAATTTTTGTTATCTGTTTTCTGATCCATTTCAATACTGAGCCCTTTTCTCCATACATCTCTAATATTTCACATTTTACCAAACTAAATTCAGTTAAATTATTTTTTCAATGCAACAAGCAAACTCAACATCCTCAATATTGGATAAAATATCGATACTGTTAACAAAATACCTATTAAAACTATTAGCTAGTTCATTACTGTCCCTTACAAGAGTTTTCTGACCATCATGCTCAAACTGAATACCATTGAAGAAATGGTTATTAAATTATTTTGGATTAATAAGTTTCTTAAAGTTTTCCACATTAAACAAGGGTTGTGTATATTTTTATAATTTGATTAAAATAAATCTGATGTTTCTTTTTTTTTTTTTTGATGGCATTAAGAACTATATTTCTTTTTTGTTTATAATTTTTCCAATTAATATTGCTTAATATTTATTTAAAAAGTTTGTATGCTGAATCCCTGTTTTTACTTAAACTTCTAACTTCCTCATCATACCACACCAGGTCATTTTCGTAATAAGTAATTATTTTAAAAGGAGTTATTTGACTTTTTTTAAACTTTTTTCGATAGATTACCTCGCTCCACTACGCGTTGCGCGGCTAACTTTCTGCCTCGAGCGGCAAAGTATCACTTTTCGCTCTTAATACACAAATAGCTATTTCCACTTGATGGGAAAACACCTTCAGTCAGCAATTTCTTGAACAGGCGCCATAGAGGTCGTGCCTTAGCAAAGGCATACTACTTCAAAAACCGATTTGTAATCTGATCTGGTCCGGGACTCTTCCTAATATGAAGTGAATCTTAGATAATATATTGACAGATAGGCTACCCTGTATAAATCTATACAATGTTGATGTCGCTCTAATAAAATCATTGTTTTTTTTTCTAATGCGGGCTTTCTCGCTCATATTAGAATCTTCAGCAGTAGCGTACGTAAACGGATTGTATTATCTAGTTTCTTTATTTCAATTAGGTAACTAAATATTCTTATATTACTGATGATAGTTTATATTTTAGACCATGTACAAATATATACAGTATGCAGCCAAAAACTATTAATTTTTTTGATATTGCACATACTTTTTCACTCATCTTAATTGTGTCTGTAATGTTTTATTTCTGTTTCGTAAGTTTGAAGCAGTACTGTTGGCAACAAAAAAGTCTTCGTAATGACCGATTTTCTAGAAACTTCAATGTAAAGTTACCAAAATATCTAGGTTTCTGAAATAGGTATTCATATACAATTTAATGTATTAGCTTAGATCAATTCCAATGTTTGATTTACTTCTTAATTAATGGTGACTCAAATTTTGTTGATGAGAATTTCAGAGTCATACCTTGAACTTAATATTGAAGTGTATGAGGTACTTTTGTTCAAACTATAACTTCTTTTATTTGTTGGCAAGTTTAATACTTTTAAAGAGGGCCCATAATCAAATAATTTAGTATCTGAAGAAATTACTATACTAAAAACATTCAAACATATTATTGGTTCGCCAAATTTATTAAGACAATACCTTCTCTTTTTTTTTAGGTGACATAGGTTCACCACTACTCTTTTTTTCCTACTTTGTGTAATACAAAGTTCCTAAAAAGTAAAGATACAATTTTTAAAAGTGCTCGATATTATTTAGAAACGTACAAACTTATAAATATATTTGTTGCAGCAAAGCAGTCCTCTAAAAAGTGCATTGAACATATGTAATATATTCGTTCAACTTCTAACATTTCAGTCCATTCAAGTGCCTCTAACCATAAGTTTCTTCTAATTCGTATTTTAGAACACTAATAATATTTTTTTTTTTTTTTAATATGCATATTTTATTTTCCTTTTTTCTCCTAAAACGACGCCCATGTTCTTCGGTAAGAAATAATATTGAGTGAAACGTAACCTTACTTCCTCTTTTATATTTAAAATCACATAAAACACAAGTCTTTTCCTAGTATAAAATAAACCCTACAAATCAAAGTCACTTTTAACACCACCATACTTGAACAAATTTAAGTAAAAACTTAAAAAAATTGTCTAAAAATAACTGGAAAAATAAATATAGAGATAGAGATATTAATCTATTTCTCTCTAATTAGAATCTTTCATGCAATATCAAGGTGACAAAAAAATTGTTTACTGTCCTCTCTGTACTACTTTGAGAAGTGAATTCAAACATCCTAACACATCGCTTATAGATATAGTAATATTATTAACATCAATAAAATCATTATCAACACATTTAAAATTATCAGTGTCATTTTGATCAAAACTGTAAACTGATCAAAAATATTTAGCAAAAGCGTCTGCAATTGACTGATTTTCAGTAAAAACTTTCTTCTTATCTCATTGTACTTGTCATATCACAATTACGACGTTTAGAATTGACAAATTTCCAAAATGGTTTGAAGCTAAAATAATCAACATTTCAATATCCTGAACATATGATTGAAAACATTCTTTTGACAATAACTTACAGTGCGATCTTAAATTTTTATACTCATTATAAGAGGGATCAGAACTGCTTTTTTTATATCTCAAGTTGAAAACATTTTAAAGTATTTTCCTTTAATGATTTTGTAAAAAAAAAAATGAGAAATTGTCCAGATAAACAGTTTTCGAGATATGGCCAGACGCCGCCCTTAACAAGGACTTTCACAACTATGTTTACTTGAACTTTTTTTATATGCAAATACCTCTAAAAATGTATAATTGCTAACCTGTAACATCGTGTATGTTCACTTATGTATATAAAACTTGAGCCGGTCCTGGCCAATCTGGAATCGTTATACACCTGCGCGCCGACACACTATTTGCTTATGGTTTCACTTTGGATGTATGGAATTGGCTTTCTATACTATTTCTATGATAGTGTTCCAAAATCAATGTACTCTTGCTTTTCAGATTCTATGCCTTATTGGTGAAGCTTTTGAGAATTCCGATGAAGTCTGCGGGGCTGTCGTTAACATCAGGCATAAGGGGGATAAAATAGGTAAAAAAACTCCATACAACTCAAGTGAAATGCTCTAAACGTTGTTTTATATATTTTTTAGCGGTTTGGACGGCCGATGCTCAAAATGGCAATGCAGTCTTAGAAATTGGGAGAAAATTAAAAGAAAGGCTGCACATACCTGCGAGGGTGATGTTGGGTTATCAATTACATAAAGATACTATTGAGAAGACCGGATCAGTTTCTAAATATTCGTATACCGTATAATTGATAAATTACGGGGATGATTACACAAAAAAGAAAACTTGGTTAAGTGCGACATTTTAATCAAAATACCTTTCCATCCATTTAACATAAAATGAACAATTACAAAAAAAATTAATATCCAAATAAGACGTGATGCAGTTCGATTGATCAGAACCTTTTAAAAATACCAACGATTTTGGTAAAATTAAAAATTATTTCGTGACAATCTTTAAATGCGTCAGAAACTACTTGTTCGGCCTTTTTATTGAGGTAAGAGGAAGTTTTTTTGGGATAAAATTAGTAGAACCATTTTCTTTTCTGATTATGCAATTTGATAAAAAGATAATGTGGGGTGTAACAATTTTTTTTAATGCTGGTCATATATTTTTGTCACCCCTGCGTTACTTTCAAAAAAAAAAAATTGCTTCAAAAAGTCGGTTAACTTTTTGAATTATTGTTTTATTTATCCAGAAAATTCTTGGTATATTTTCAATAAATGGCACCAAATTTTAGATTATTTTCACTCAATACTTTGACATCGAAAAAGTCAAAATTTTACATTTAAGACACTGTGTTTTAATATTAAACAACGAAATATCTTCTTGGAGTGCTTCTCTAGATTGAGTGTAATGAATTAACCATTGAAGCACATTTTTTGAGATGTAGCCTAAATATGATGCCTTCCTCTTTTATACAGTACTAGTCTTCGTTTGCTGACAAACTTAATCATTGTTGACCTTGTAGTTTCAAATACACAAAAATGATTATCTTATAGCTGTATCACTCACTGATGTGTTTCTCTTAGTTGTCTTGGGCTCATTGCTGTGGTTGTGACCTTATTCCAAGCTTCTCATTATATTGTTCTCCATTCCTTGCACATTTCTTCATTATCTACTCATATTCGTTGTCATATTTTATCGTTCAATATTATTTATTTTTGTAATTTTCTATAAATACGTCTTTTATTATCTCTATGCACAACAAGTTTCAAATATTGAATGACGTCTTACCATTCTTATTAAACGTAATTTCAATTATAATGCTTTATATGAAAGGATTACAATGGTCCAGATCAAATTTTGTAAGTCTGATTAACTCTGGAAAAATATAAAATGGTTCTATTTAAGTTTTCCTAGTACAATTTGTAGACTTTCTCTACTCTCACCGACGTGTAGTTTCTATTAGATGAAAATTAAAGTAAGTTTGAGAACGTTTCACTACTCTCTGATGTCGCACGTCAAGTTTTTGTAATGTGTTATCAAATTAATAATTAATTAATGTTAACATTCATAGTTTATTTTGAAATTGTATCTTTTTTATAGTACTCATTAATAATTTTTAGTTGAGTGGTTTTGATTCTTATTACATTAGTTTATGGAATATTTATTTCGTTTTTTTTTCTATTCGCATTTGGGTTTGTATGAATGTTCTGGTTCTAATTTTTAATTGTTTACAATCTTTTATTACTGGCGGAGAGCTATATTTTTATGCTTTTGTGTATTTATATATTCGTGAAACAAAGATGTTTTAAAATACATTATTATTAGTACTGACGATTTTTGATTTTCCATAAGCTAATCTGACCAAATTCTAAATTATTGAATGCTATTAATGGCTTCTCTTCTCGAGCATGAGCAGATAACTGTAACAATCTCTATAACTGTGTAGACATACTTTAATTTTATTTTACAAAAAGATATCAGTGTCAATTATTTTTTTCTCACAGCCTCTACATTGCGTCACTATTGAGTTATTAATTCTCATTTATTCAGTATGTATTCTTCCCTTATTGATTTAAAAAATTGACTTTTACAATATAATACTGGCGATACTTCACGATCTAATTCTTCACCTAATTCACAGGTAAGATAATTTTATAGGTTATATAATTATGGACGCGCTTTAAAAAGTTATTTCCATCTATAAAGAATCTTTTTTACCAAGGCCCTCTAACTATGGAATATTGAATTCGTGTCGACGAAAAAGTTTTCTTACCCACACTTTTTAACATTTTTCTTCACGTTTCCGATCACTACTACGTCCGAAAACGCAGAAAAATCTTCTGTGCACATGTGCGTCTACACGATAGCTCTAGAACGAAAGCTCCAATCGCCGACTTTTCTTTATAATTTCTTGCTGAGAACCCTATTGATTTTCAGAATTTTTCAGTGACAGGTAAGAGAAAATTGTTTTAAGTTAAAATAAATGTGGATCTTATGCGAAAAACGTACAGGGTAGTGAAGTAAAGATGATTTTTGCACGATTTTTAACTAATTCCCGAATGGCGCTCCTATCTGAATTGATATTAAGATCAAAAGGGTAAAGGGGTAGTAATAATAACAGTGCTTTATTGAAACAATATGTTAACAGAATGCTGTGCTTTACATTGAGTTATTTTTTATGGTGTTATGTTTTATATGGCTAAATAGAAATTAGATGTGTACAAAAAAAAGTATATTGAATTAGTATACTAAAAAAAATTTGTTTTCAGATGATGTATTGAGGGTTCTGGTCTCTGTTTAGTTAGTGACAGAAATTATTCTAAATTACTACATGTCAGTTAAAACTTAATATACTATAAACGATAATGAATAAAATTATTTCTTCGAGTTATTTATGAAATGGTTTATGTTCTGGGGTAGAATTCTCGAGTCTCTCATGAAAATTGTCGCACACGACAAATGTCGCATACCAAATTCGTATGGTTGTTAAAAATACATATTTAGGGGTGCGTTTAAACCTATGACGCCGGGGTTTTAGAAAACTGAAATTTTCAGTGAATGTAGTCGTGAAGTACCTGATTAAAACCCACTTAGTCAGAATGTGCCACAAATCTCCGTTTCCTCAGAAAATAATAATAATCTTTTAGGGGTGCTTTTTAACCTATGTCGCCGGGGTTTTAGAATACTGCTATTTTTAGAAAAAGTCCTCAAGTAGCAGATTAAATTCCAAATAACCAGAATATGACAAAACATATAAATTTCTCGTAAAAAAAATACCTCTTTAGGGGTGCGTTTAAACCTATGACGACGGGGTTTTAGAAAACTCCAGGGCAGTATTCTCGAATGTCGAATACCTCGATTCGCATGCAAGATTAGTCAAATGTCGAATAGCAACTAGGTGATTTTAAAAAAGTGTATCCTCGAAAACAGGATATGACAAAATGTCAGGTGAATTCAACACGATTAGTCTAAAGTGCTCGAATTTAAATTCGTATGCGACTTTATGGACCGTAAATATGGATTAGGTAGATTTTGATAAAATTAACATTTGGTGGCTGTTGAAAATCAAAACATTATTAAAGAGTGACAGCATAGAAGGAAGAAGTTTATTTATAAAAATCTAGTATTTTCGACTTTCTAAGCATGTTATAAGCGTTATAATACATCGTTAATTCCAAATGGATTAAATTCAATTAACTAAACCTTCACTACTGGCAAATACAATTCGTCGACGGTTTTTGATTTGTCCCGCTTTCTACATTTCAAAATATGGTTACTTTATAATATAATGAAGAAAGTCACAGACTCATTTACCTTATCAAAAGAGCTTTTACAGACCATTCCGAAGATAGGATCCTGAAACTACACAACTTACATAAGACCAAAGATAGAATTTGCACAGATCGTTTGGGGCCCATACTTTGGTTAAATACATTGAATTGCTGGAAAGAGGTACAAAAGAGAGCCACCAAAATACCACCAACTCTACAAAATGAGTATTTTGATCTGCTAGCCAAACTACAACTTTGAAGTTTAAAAGATAGAAGAACTAGAGGAGACTTGATAGAAACCTACAAGCGGGCCTGCGAATATTACACCTATCTGTCAGGCCAGCACAACAAGAACCTTGAGAGGTCACTCTAAGAAATTAGATAAAGAAAAGTGTAATAAACAGCAATAAAAAATTTTTGTTACAAACAGTATATCTGAGGAATGGTCTCTAGGAGCATACAGTCTCGGCCCAGAACATAAACTAGTTCATAAAGAACTCGAAAAAGGAAGAAATAATTTTATTCATTATCGTTTATAGTACACTGCACCCCAAAATTAACCGGACACTAAGTGTATTTTAAATAAAATTAAAAAGTATTAGAAAAACTTAAAATTCCAATAATTTTTTTTTATTGTATATTCAATAACAAACCCTAAAATAAAAAACAAGTTCCAAAATATTGATTAATTTAACAACAAATAAAAATTATAAAATTTTTGTATTCCGGAGTACAAAATTAACGGATATTTTTCTGATTGAAATCATAAAATAATTCTAAGATTTGGATATTAAAATCGAGTATTCCCTCCTCGAGCTCGAATAACAGCTCTCATCCTTTCTGACATAGACTGGACCAAAGGAGCAATCTCGTTTTGCGGTATTGGTTCCCACTCATTTACCAGCGCCTGTTCTAACGCTACCACGGTTTCAAACTCGCCATAATTTTGTCTAAATCTTCTTCCCAAGTTGTCCCACAAATGCTCTATGGGATTAAGGTCTGGGCTTCTAGGAGGCCAGGCTAGTATCTGAATACCAACATCTGTCAAGTATTGCATAGTTACCCTGGCTATGTGCGGCCGAGCATTAGAAGAAAAATTTCCCCTACAAAATGCATAAGGTACCACATGTTCTTCCTGACATTCCCTAATGTACCTATCAGCATTAAGGCCAGCTCCCCCTAACATAACAAGATCTGGATGTGCTTCCAAAGAAATTCCGCTCCATACCATTGCACCTCCACCACCAAACTGTACTCTACGAGAGAAACAAAATTAGGCATAGCGTTCTCCAGGCCTCCTCCATACTGTTTGGCGACCATCAGGTGAGTTTCTCGTAAAACGAGACTCATCTGTAAAAAGAACGTTTCGCCAATCTTCCATATCCCAATCTGTATGAGCACGAGATAATTCTAAGCGTTCTCTTCGATGAGCTGGATCCAGTAAAGGGCCTGTGGCAGGTACATAAGATGATAAATTTTGTTTGCTTAATCTTCTGAGTACAGTATCAGGTAAAACTACGGTTCCATGAACATCTGCCAGTCTCCTGGTCAAAGCCGTAGCAGTAACTGTCCGCTCTCGAAGCACTTGAAATCTCACAAATCAATCTTCAACGGCGTTTGTTACCCTTGGTCTTCCCTGTCCAGGTCTTCTAGAGTAAGAACCAGATTCTCTAAATCTTCGTAAAGCATCAGATATTGTATTTCGCGGAACGCCAAACATTTCTTCGATATAACGAATGGAACGACCATCATTATGTAAGGCAACAGCTTGCGTTACTTGATCTGGCCTCATTTTAAATTATTTTTGATTATTCTTTCCCGAAAAAGCAGCTAACCACGCACCAAAAAGGCATACAATCAATTTAACAAGCATTATTTTGTAAGTAAATATTCGATTATCGAGAACACATTAACAAAAAATTACTTTTCAGCCAGAAAAAATGACAAACTTTTAAAAAACGAATGGATAAAGGTAACTTATATTTTGATAAATATATTTAATTATACAGGGCAATTCAACAAAACTAAAAGGAGAAAACTTTAAAATTTCACGTGTCCCGTTAATTTTGCGGTGCAGTATATATTAAGTTTTAACTGTCATGTAGTAATTTATAATAATTTCTGTCACTAACCAAAAGGGCAGCTTCATCGACTATGTCGCTGGTCTGTTCTTAACAATAATAATAAAAATAGGGGATTGTAAGAGGTTTTCTCAACTAGTTAGAAATACTCACGTGTTGCGTTCGAACTGGGTATGCTCGGGCGCCAGTTTGTTTTAGAGCGGTTTGCTCCACTACCTATTGAAAGTTCCAAAAAGGGCTGAAGGTAGCTTCAGTGAAAAAAGAAAATTCCAGAGGGTCAACGATATTAGAGTAGTTATGTAGTACCTGAAAAGAGATTTATCACAAGGGAATCAAATTCCAGGTTTCAGTTTGACACATATTGATCAGTCTTAATTAACAATCGTTCCCGTTTGGTAATTGGTTTATGCTAAATATTTTATTTACAAGTCTTCCCCAAGTTAATGGATCTAACCCTGAACAAAATTAAACCAAAAGCATTCGTAACGGAAAATACCTGGCAAAATAAACTAAAAACTTAATCGGACAAGTGAAGGCGTATACGAATAAAACGGTTTCGTGAAAACAGCGATCAAACCAGAAGTACTACGCGTCGTTGTAGCATGTCTACGATTTTCGGCAGAGTGAACTTTCGGGATCTCATGAATTTCTCCTCTAAGCGTCTTAGAGCTTCTGACTATTCGGTTATCCCTATAAAGACACGGCGGCGAGTGAACTGGAGCGGAAGTAACATGCAACAGAGAAATTGCAAAACTAGCTACAGTCTAACGGACCACAAGATTAATATCCTGGCGACGCGATCCCTGAGGATGGCGCTCCAGGCTATGTAACTTCGTATACACTAGACTCTGGGAGCGAAGCCGAATCAGCCCATTCTACCACGTGGGATAGTCAATATACATCGACTTAAAATTCAGAGTCCAGTCAACTGGTCGGTAATTCACTAGAAGTCTAACTAATTGTTGGGACAGTGAT